CATTGAATAAACTCCAAGAGGATAATATTCTCTACCTGATTCTAGACAGTGACCCAAACATAACCTACTTAGTCGCCGAATTTCTGTCTAGCATATTTTCCTTTAGTGAATAATGTATCACTCTTTTAGTCATTGCTCAAGATCATCTGATCGCAGGAGCTCCGCGAAGGAGAGAAGGGGAAGGAAAGGCTGCCCCGGGGGGGGGTATGTGTCTGGGATCTGCTGCCCGCCCAGCACCTGCTCTTCCACTGGAGCCCCCCTTTCTTGACAGCCAGCCCAGATACACTGATTCTGCAAGGGGGGGTGGGGAAACCACTTTGGCCCAAGGTCCAAAATGAAGCGTCTCCTTGTTGAGATGCTGGGATGCCAGCAGACAGACGGGAGGGGAAGGGAGGGCTGTGCTGCCTATCCGGGGGGGGGGAACAGGAAGCCACAGCTTACTTTAATGTATTTATTTATTTACAGAATTTATATTCTGCCAATGAGGCGGCTCAGAATTCTGCTTCTGCTCTTCAGGGGATTGGCGGCACCCCGCATGCAGCTGGCAACCTCCCCCCGCCCGCCAGCCTCCCAGCAGCCCCCACATGCCTGCGCAGTGCACCCCTAACCACTTGGGGGAGATGTCGGCCCTTTTAGGGGCGCAGCCAGAAGGAGTCGCGGTTGATGATGACCTCACTCCTCGCCGCAAAGACTCAGTGCTCCAGTGTGATCCAGCCTGGCTTCACCACAGCTCTCCGATGGAGGTGGGGAGTGAAGTAGCTGCCGTGTCAAACCAAGTGGTCTGCTACCCCTTGCCCCCAGTTTTGGCATGCATGTTAAGAAATGCCTGTCCCTATTCTACAGTGGTTCCTTTGTGTACTGTTTGGGTTGTCCTCCAAAGTCTCCAACGCAAGGGTGTCCTTTGTCCCCATTACTGTTTATTTGGATTTTAGAAATACTGTTTGGGCAGATCAGAGACGATAAGGAAGTTAAAGGATTATCTAGTAAAGGTTTTTCCTATAAATACAGAGCTTTTGTGGATGATGTAATGTTTTTGATAGAAGACCCTAAACAAAAATTACCGTTGCTTATTGAAAAGATAAAAGAATTTGGAGATTAGTGGGATTTTATATAAATAAAAATAAATCCAAGGTGATGTGTAAAAATATGCTAGCAGCGAAGCAAGATGAATTACAGAGGTTAACACAATGTGAAGTAGTTAAAAAGACTAAATACTTAGGTATTGAACTGACAATGAAGAATATTGACCTATATAAGAACAACTACGACAAGCTGTGGACGCAAGTTTTACAACACTTAAAAAAATGGAACACATTAAACTTGTCGCTAATGGGTAGAATATCGGTGGTTAAAATGAATATTTTACCGCGTGTGATGTTTCTATTTCAGACTATTCCAATAGTGAAAGACTCAAAGATCTTAAATTCTTGGCAGAAGGAGGTTTCAAAATTTGTATGGGCGGGGAAGAAACTAAGAATTAAGATGAAAATCCTTTGTGATGCTAAGGAAAGAGGAGGATTCCAGTTACCAAACTTTAAATTGTACTATGATGCAGTATGTTTAACTTGGTTGCAACAATGGATTACTTTAGATAACAGAAAATTGTTGGCGTTAGAAGGGCATGATTGTAAATTTGGATGGCATGCTTATTTATGGTATGGAAAAGCAAAAATTGATAGTTTTTTTAAACATCATTTTATCAGAAGAACGATATATGACACTTGGATTAAATATAAAAGGTTCTTTTCAGATGAGAGACCACTCTGGATAATACCAATGGAGGTAATTAAACCTTATCCGGTTTATAAAGGAGAAGACTGGCTACAATATAGAGACATTTTGAAACCTGCTGGAAAGTCGTTTGAAATGAAATCAGAAGAAGAAATGGATTATAAGTATGGCTGGTTGCAATATAGACAGGTTTATGATCTGTTTAAAACAGATAAAAAAGAGTTTGGTTTTAGAGCAAAAAATAATGAAATTGAGAATTTGTGGGTGGAAGGAGGTAAAAAGATGATTTCTAAGATGTATAAGATATTGTTAAAATGGTATACTAAAGATGAAACAGTGAAAGAGCAGATGGTAAAATGGGCAGTTAATATGAATAAGGAAATATCCATGTCATCCTGGGAATTTTTATGGAAAAATGCAATGAAAATTTCAACATGTAATAATTTAAGAGAGAATTGTTATAAGATGATGTATAGATGGTATATGACACCAAAAAAGATAGCAAATATAAGCAGTAATTTATCAAACAAATGTTGGAAATGTAAGAAAGTAGAAGGTTCTTTTTACCATATGTGGTGGACATGTGAAAAAGCAAAAGGTTTCTGGGCCGAGGTCCATTCAGAGATGGAAAAAATTATGAAATGCAAAATTAAGAAGGAACCGGAGGTGTTTCTTCTGGGACTGAGAATGGAAGAAGTCAATATTGCAAAACGAACATTAAGGTGGTATATAACCACAAATGCTAGAATGACGTACGCTCAATGCTGGAAGCAAGAAAAAACTCCTGATATTTGGGAGTGGTTAAAGAAGTTACTTTTTATGGTTGAAATGGACAAAATGACAAGAAAGCTCAAAAATCAAGAAGCAGAAGACTTTTTTGCAGATTGGAAGGACTTTAAAGATTATATGGAGAAATATTGGGATGTTAAAAACAATTTATTTTGCTTAGACAATTATTAAGACTGAGAACTATCTAGATTAAGTTTAAACGTATATATAGATCTATAGATAAAGAGATACAGTACCTGTAATAAATATATAATATGAAAGAATTGGGAAAGGGGTTGATCTAAGGGGGAATGAGAAGTTTGAGCACTGCGGGAAGTCAGACGGGGGGGTATATGGAAGAAAAAAGGATATGAGATTACTTGTTACATGAATTATAAGTTTACCTATTGTGATATCCTAATAAAGAGTTTTTTAAAAAAAAAAAAAAGTCTCCAACGCGAAAGGAAAGAAGTGCCTCAGCTCCTGGCTTGGCTCACATGCACAAAACAGGCACCATTCGGTCTCCTGTCTGCCTTCCACAGACTGACCACTTCATCCCATCTGCAGACTCAAGGGCCAACTGCTAGCCGAGACAAGAGTCAGCTGATCTGCCTCTCCTCTGTCAGACATCAGGCAGGCCTCTTTTGTGTGCAATTTTGCTTTTGTCATTTGAAAAGCTTCTTGGTTAGTTGCTTTAAGCAGGCCTTTGACCATAAACAGTGGGATACAAATTCTCCAAATGAAAGACTGAATGAATGAAGCCTTTCCTGCACTGAGGCGATTCTCCTGTATGCAGGGCACTGCATTTTCAATAAGAGAGCCGTCAAACGTGCAAACGTCTCTTCCCTGCATCTGACACAAAGAGGGAAAAGCTTTGCGTGGTGTACCTGCTGGCAGCTGAATGGCCAAAGCCCTGGACTCTGACTGGAGAGAGCTGAGTTCAAATGCCCACCCAGTGGCTGACCTTGGGCCAATGACCACTTCTCAGGGCCTTCTCGGGGTGAAAGTGGAATCTCCACCCCACTGAGCTGAGCAGAAGGGGAAGCATCGAGACGCAAGAGAGAGAGAGAAACATGAAGGGAACAAGCAGCTATCCAAGTGAGAAATTAATACAGAAGGGCACACAACATTATTTTAAAAGGCATTTGGGCTCAGTAGGGCTTCTTTTGTTGACAGTGCTAAATCTCCTCCTCGTGGAGGGCTGGCCATGGGGGAAAGCTTTAACCCAGCAGATGGACGTTGGACCATCAGCCCGCAAGCAACATCAAGAGGTAATCAACTTCTTTAAAATACCTCAGTCGTAATTGTGCAAGCATGCATTTCTTAACACATACAGAAGAGAGATAATTTTGGAATTCAGGACATTTACACCAACATCTTTCATGCAGGAAGCTTCAAATGGGATTGCCTCAACCTTCCTGTTGGGCCACTCATCTATTCAGCACATTAAAGAGAAATTCCAGACTGTTCACTGCTCACTCACTGCCGCTGTGCTTTTCACCCAGGCACATTAACAGTGGGACAGTGGCTGAAAATTGTTTTGTGTGGTACGTGTGAGTTTGGCCCTTATGTTGGCAAAACAAGGAGTTACTATTAATCTTATTCTTCACTTATGTAACAGTTGTGTACATTCAACCTTTGTAAAATGGTAAATATTTTATAATTATTTATGGAATATTAAATTGTTCGCATGATAGGTTTTCGAATGTATGTTTCAGCATGCATAAAACACCACACTAACAATCACTGCTCTTAATTTACTATTTCTCACACTATTTATTCTTTGTTTAGTTTGCTTGTGGAAATGTGTGCTGTATCATGAACAACTGAAAGCAAAACCATTTTAGTTTTTAAAAAAGTTTTGCAACAGGCAATTATCCTGATTATTGTTTTATGAAGGAGGCCCAGAACGGTAACAGAGCTGATTATATTTTGTACAAGGAAAAACTGCCAGCACTTAGCACTGGGGGCAAGTCATCTGCCAAGTGAGCATTTGCAGAAAATCGGTGGAATGGTCTCCCTGCCAAGAGGTCTCTTTGGTTCCGGAATCCACCTCTGAGAATTAATGCATCTGTACACAAGGCATAATTATTTCATGGAGGCAAACACTCACCCAGTTGCAGTCCCCCCCCCACATGCTACAAACACACGCTGCCTCCTGCAGAATTCCAAAAGACAACCGGACTGCTTATGCCTACACGTCTTGCTGATTACGTTATGAAGGAAGCCAACTGGGCTTCTTCATCCCAGACGAAAACGAGGTCATGGACTAGACGGTTTCCTTGCATTTAATTAGCTTCAGTCTATCACCAAGAAAAGGAAGAAAAACTACTATAACTTTGCTCACCTTGAGAAGAAAAAGATAAGGAATGGTCCTTGATCTTCCATAGTGCCACAGGGAATGAAGTGGGAAATGACTCTGTGGTAACTACTTACCCTCAAGATTATCAAAACACCACCAACCACTAACAGAATTATAACAGCTAAGTGGGGTAACTTACACTGAGTGAGGATCCCCATCAAAGCAGTTTTAAAATTCTCCTTGGCTTCCTCCATCTCCTGTTCGTGGGTTGCTTTTTCATTCATGAGCCGGCGGACGTGGCTGTTGGCCAGCTGCACCATCGAGTAGAACTGGTTGGCCGTGCGACGATTCACTTCGCCGCGCTCTATCCAGGTAAGCAAGACGGTGGTGGCCTCTGAAAATTTGCTGTCATCTATAACAAGCAAGTCAAGAGGTTTAGTCATATGCTTTGTGCTATTAAGATGCTTCTGCTTTTATGGATTAATATTCTCATAAATAATTTTAATGATGTATCTTAAACATGACTTCACCCAGCATAAAACTGCATAAATTGCCCTCCAAGGACCTGCTTATCATGAGTTCTATAAAATGTTGTAACTTGAATTTTCATTCACTCCTTACATGAGTTTAGCAGTATGAACTAGCTCCACATTGGGAACAAGTCAATGCAAACACAGTGAACGTTTCCCTTCCTCCCAAGAGCCTGGGATGCTGAACTTGGGGAAGAGGAATCAGGGGGCTGCGGTCACCTTCGGGGCCCAGGAAGCTGAGTCCTGTGATTCGTTTTGTTCTAATGATGTTACATTGGCCTTTGGTGGTGTGGTGGGATCGGCAGAGAGAATCTTTGCCAGGGGCCCAGGGTGGCTCTGGGAGTACGGTCTTCACCAGCACCACGGAGGTGAATGTACAAGATCACCGTGGATGGGGAAGAGAACTTCACAATGCAGCTTTAGAGATGCACTCAAAGCCAACTGGTATGGCAGACACAGATATACTCTCATGGGAGTCATCTCTCTCTGAACTGTTCCCCCACCGCTTCACGTCCCGCATTCCTTCACACGCCAGCTGGCCCTTCCTTTCTGGGGCTGGCAATACTGGCTTGGAATTGAATTCTCTCATTTGACCATCATGCGTGGTGGTGCCCTCCAGAGCACAAAGGAAGGACTGTGATTGTACACTGTACACTGTTGTTCGGGCACCAGAGTGAAGATGAAGAGCAAAGAGATGGGATGACAGGGCCAATTCTCTGTGCCTGTTCGGCAGGTTGAATGGACACGTGGAGTGCCTACAACAAGACGATGGACTGGGAGGAAAGATTAGAAACCCAGTGTGTTTGAGACATCCCAGCAGGCAACTGATGGGATGGAGAGGGGCGGTGGGTAAAGAACTGAGAAGCGCCATGTTTGACTACAGTAAGAAGGGATGGGGAGGAGGGATAGGGTGGGGGTGTGGTAGAGAGGAGAGTTATGGGCAGGGGAGAGGTCAACCAGAAGCTGGAAGGGGACAGGAGTGTCAGCAAGCTGCCATGGTGTTCTGTGTAACTTCTGATTACACAGAACACCATGTGGAAGGCTGGAAGAGGAAGCCCTGCTTCGGTTGCCCACACCCTCTGAAGCTGGATGGGTGGACACTTGAGAAAGGACATGTGTCGGGATCACCGACCAGACAAGGATGTCTAGAATCACAGAAACACAAAGGTGGAAGGGGTCATAGAGGCCATCTAGTCCAACTCCCTGCCCAATACAGGATCGGCCCCTAGAGCCTCCCTGACAAGGGTCTGTCCAGCCGCTGCTTGAAGACTGCCAGGGAGGGGGAGCTCACCACCTCCCCAGGCAACTGATTCCACTGTGGCACAGGCTCTGACTGTCAAAAGGTTTTTCCTAATATCTAGGTGGTACCTTCCCGCTTTTAATTTAAACCCATTCTTGCGAGTCCTCTCCTCTGCTGCCAACAGCAACAGCTCCCTGCCCCCCTCTAAGTGACAGCCCTTCAAATATTTAAAGAGAGCAGCCATGTCCCCCCTCAACCTCCTCTTCTCTGTGACAGTAATGTTCTCAGGTCCCTCGGCCTTTCCTCGCAGGGCTTCTTGGTCTCCAGGCCCCCCCATCATCCTCGTCGCTCTCCTCTGCGCCCGCTCCATTCTGTCCACATCCTTTTTGAAGGGAGGCCTCCGGAACCGCTCACGATACTCCAGGCACAGCCTGTAGAGCTGCATGCCAACATGCTTTGATGTCCCCCTTGCTGTGGTCACATGTGTCCAAAAGAGCCTTCTTACTGGCCACAGCTGCACCTTTACCCACATATCAGGGGAACCTTAGTTCAGCTGCCAGGACTCTTCCCCCAAATCTCCAGGAATCTCCCAAGCCAGAGTCGGCAGCCCGCACAGGATCAGAGCAAGGGCCAGTCTAGCCAGGTGTCTCATCCCACACCGTGGCTAACCAGGTGTGCCAGAAGGCTTCCCACAGAGCCAGAGAGACTCCGGCCTCTCCCTCCTGGCATGCAGCACAAGACAGTGAAGATGGAGGAAAGGCGCGGGGGGACACCTCCACCAGGTGTGGCATCTTACCGAGGAATTGTTTCCCATCCTTCCTATTCAGGTACCTTTAAAGCTTGGGCAGAGCCACAGGTGTGAGTCTCTGAGCACAAAATGAAGGGCAAGAAGCATCCAAGGCCTCATGTACCTTTGGCTGTTCGCCTGCCGTTTGTAGCCCAGGCCGCCAGGAGAGCCAGCACCTGAGTCCAGCCCCAGCCCAGGACGGGGCACCACTGTGCTGCTGTCTCACTGTTTATTGGACTGTGCACAGTATCCTTTTCCGGCTGTAAAGCTGCCCTGGGTCCCTTCACGGAGAAAAGAGGGGCACTGACCATTTAAACCTCGACTGGGAGGGCGGGGTAGAAATGTAATAAATAAATAAATAAAAACAAACAAACTACTGCCTTGGAATATGGTGTCAGTTCAGGAATTTCTGGTGGTGGGAAATGCCCTCAAGTTGTAGCTGACTTATGGCGACCCCTCGTGGGGGGTTTCAAGGCCAGAGACCACAGAGGTGGTTTGCCATGGCCTGCCTCTGCACAGCAGCAACCCTGGGCTTCCTGGGTGTTCATTTATTTACTTTTATTGATATTGTCAGACTCACAGCAAACAATGAAATACACTCTTGCAGGAAGGTTTTATTTTATTGAAGCCATGAAGTACTTAGAACGGATGTTCTGTTCAGAATAGCACAAAGGGCATGAGACAGGTATAATAAAGCAAGTTCAAAATAACATGGGCCAATAGATATGGTTCCCGCACCCGCCTTGAGGGCTCATCTCGCGCTCAAACCTTGAGAAAGCAACGGTTGTAGCTAATTAAACAATTCTTCTATTCTCACACTACTGTTCGTTATAGACTAAGCAAAAAGCCTCCAAACGCTAGCCACCTGTAAAGGTTCCTTCAAAGCAACGCTAGCGTACATGGAAAGGAATGCAGTTGACGATGAGCGCTTGAAGGTGAGGGGGGATGTGCGCACCAGAGTCCAAGCCAGTTAAGGAAAGGCAAGATGGGGGGGGGGGTTAGACACATCTCATATGCACGGAAAAGACATATTGGCAGCTTGCTGACAGATATCCCCCTCTTCTCCCTGATCAGGGACTCAATCCGAGGATGAACCCGGGCCAGCCCTGCTGAGCTTCCAACCTCTGGTGAGACTGGGCTGGCCTGGGCCACCCCACCCCCCGGTCAGACCAGGGGGGTCTCTGCTCCCCGCCTGTCACGACTGCCAGAAGAGCCACAGCTCCAAATCCCGTTCCCTGGGGAGACAAAGGCTGCTTTTCGGAGCAGGTTTATCCAAGGTGACCGGCAGTTGCTTGTCTCTGCCTAATCCTGTTTTTGACACACTCTCAACAAGCTAGATGGGCCTGCGAGCCTATTAACAGTTAATTGATGGTTTTACACAAGGAGAAAAAACTTCACTGGATGTGTAATTAGGAAATCCAAGTCACTAACAATTTAACAAGTGCTTGAGGGAAATTATTCACAGCACAACTACATTACCTAACATAATGCCCTCTCTACAGGTTATTTTTAAAATCCTAATTTCATCTCCACTCCTTGCCTTCGGAATTGATGAGCTGACTGCCCAGTGACTCACACGCTGAAATTCATTTTCTTCACCAAGAATAGCACATTGACCCCCTTCCAAGTGGCAGCACATTCACCTGGGTCCCAGGCAGGAAATTTAATTTTTGTCTGGTGAAGTTATCTCTGGGAAAAGCAAGTAATACAATTTTAAGAAGAAGAAGAAGAAGAAGAACTGGGTTTGGATGGCAGCCTTTTGAAGCTATTCCTTTGGAGACAAAACTGACACTGTTCACAAATATTACCTCAGAGGAAGGGCAATAAAAGGATAAGGCTTTTGTTGCCTAGATAATTGCACTTAGCTATATTTTCTGGCATAATGGCTCTTTAAAAATCCACCACACACTGGAACACTTTCTTCCACTAGAACTCTTTCTTCCCTGACTTGAAGGCATGTTTCTGAGAAATTACTCCTAGGATGACAGCTCTCCAGCTACTTGTACACACACCCCTCCCTATGCGGAGGTGCGCCCAGACCTTATAAAGCAGGACAGCTGTGATGTGTATCTTTGAACACCACCACTTTATCAGTTGCCAGCTGGCTGAAAGTCCTCTGTAAATTATCGTGACAAGTTTTGGAATAGGAAGGCTACACGGAGAGGAGCTCCAAGTCCACAGGCAAAGACCTCCTGGAAATCCTGGAGATGGTGTCTTGGTACTGGCAATGTCTCAGTGCCCCAGGAGTGACCGGGGGTGAGGGCTATCATCAAGTCATCCGCAGACACTGAATGTGAGAGAACCAATCGCTCCATCATTTATGCAATCATAGCTGCTCCTTTTCATCCCTTTCCACGGTCATCGTTTATTCATTTTGTTCATTTATCATGACAAGATGGAGGCAATGCTGGTTGGGAGGATCAAAGTGTTGGAGGGCACTGAGCTTCCCACATTTGATGGGGTTCAGCTGACCCTCGTTGACTCAGCTAAGAGTCTGGGGGGGGTTATACTTAACTCAGCCATCCTATCTCCATTGCTGGAGATGCAAGGTAATACAGGTACGAAAAATGCTTTCTTCTGATGGCTCCCTACCTTTTCTCAACTGATCTGGCCATGTGGATCCATGTCCTAGTAACCTTGAGACTGGACTTCTGTAATGCACCCCCTTGAAAACTGTACTTTTGGGAGCTAGGTGGAGTATGCACAACACCTATTCTGCAGTCTCTCCATTGGTTACCACTTAGATTCTTAGTTCAATTGAAGATGCTTCATGGTGTAGAGACCAGCATCTCTGCAGGACTGCTTCTTCTGATAGGACAACGTGACCCGAGATAATTGAGTGATTGAGTGGGAAT